GTATATATATATATATATATATATACACATGTTGATATGATTGTGTTATGATCGCTGATTGTGTTAGCACAGCAACATGTTTGCATAATGTTAAACTTGCAGTAGTATTGCAAAGTTTCTGGACAATCCTTGATTTGGAACCAGGACTCCAAATGTTTTCAGGACAATGTTGAAGCTTTGGATTTACTGTTGTTCAGCTTGTGCAGAATATATTCAGAGACAATGAACAGTCTGAATAAAGGCCTGAAATCTTTCTCTGTACTCTTTAAGTTTTACATCTTTGTTTTCATGCTCTAAAAATTTTTTTATCTGTAGTGAAGAAAGAGACGTGCCTGAAAATGAATAAAATAACTTCTCTGCAGTTACTGGATGAGTAAAAAACAAACTATTTTCTGACATATTGTGCTATAGCTGTTAATCTGTGATAAGCTGTTTGCAAGAAGATTATCCCAGTTAAATTATATTTAACTAAAATGGAATAAACCACCATCTTCATGTTCTTGGCATCCCTGCTTTTATTACTAACATTATTTGATGAAATGATTCTTTATGTAATCGCTGGAGATAAGATCCCCTGTGACCCAGAAATGAAAAGAGGATGGACGGATGATTCTTTGTTGTCTTAAAATTGTTCTGACAAATGTTTAAAGACAAAGTAAAAAGCCATTATAACAGAACTTTAAGTATATTTTTGTGCCTTTAAATAAAATTGCCGCACCAAAATCAGAAGCTGTTAAACTTAAGTAAAACAAAACGAAAAATATGACATGAAGAAGGTGCAGAGGTTACGAGCCGAGACCTCAGTGTCTTCCACGTGTTAGTTTGAACACAAAGGATCATAAAAACATGAGACTAACAGTTTACTTTACACGTACACCTATCTGCAGGTGTTGGGTGCTTAATTAAAATCAGTATTGCCGTACGTTTTTATCAGCAGGAAAGCATGTCCAAAGTGTGTTTATTTTACCGTGTAAAACTTTCACAGAGGTTCAAAGGAAACTGAATAATCTGTGTGTGGATTTACAGCTGTTCATGCAAACAAGTAGAAACAACGACTCTAGGTTGTTGTTGTTTTTTTACTCTTTCAGTGATTTTAGTTCCTGAAATGTCCTCCTGGATAATAAAATGGGCTATTGTTGTTATTTATTGTATGTTGTGTGTGTGGGTTTTTTTTACTCTGGGAACATGTTCCAAACACAAACATGATTATTTGGCGCCCTTTAGTGGATATTTAGTAAAGTACAGTTTTCAACATTCATGAGCAACAATCTTTAACCTCATACTGTTTCCATTCAGAGATTACATCTCTTTTTAAAAAACATGTAAGCTATAAATGCAGTTATTGGATCAGTTCTGTGTTCTGTGCAGAATACAACATGGAAACCGACATATCCAATTTCTTACCAGAAACACGCGATAATGGTGAAAAAGTGCATGCATGAGTAAAAGGAGTCTGTATTTTTTAAAGAAAATTCAGAGGATTCCAGTGTTTTCCAAAATGATTCATAATGCATGAGATCTCCAAAGTTACCTTTAAAATAGGTTTGAGAGAAAATGTGCACAAAGTCCTCTTTTTGTCTTTATCGTGTTATATGCTCTTGATAACATTCGATAGCAGAAATTATTGATCAGTATAGAGCCCAGCTAGTTGCATCTGCTCACCTTACTCTGCCCTTATGTAAAGTGCAAACTATCAGGAGGTAGGTGGGCTACCTCAGTGAATCCCAGTCTCTGCCTGGATCTTGGCAAAAAATCAGCAGTGTGGCAAGTAAGAGTCTGTTCTTTGTTCATGATGAACGAACAAGGTTGTAATCGCTTAGGTGCTCTGACTTGTTGCACAGAAATGATATCGAGTAAATAAACAAGAGAAAATGGACAACAGTTTCTATTTAAGGCATCAATGTGCTCAGATGGCAAACATCTGTGGCCAGAGTCTGGGGGGTTATCCTGGGTAATGAGAAAACCCTGAGCTAAATACACAAATGTGCTACACAAATAGAAAGGGGGAGGACAGAAACAGATGGCTGATTACTGCAGCTGAGTTGTAAAGGCATTGTGTAAGTTAAGTGTCTTATAAACAAGAGCCAAATGGACCGTATATACTGCAATAATTCAACAGACTTTACATTCAGCTATTTGCTCAACTTACTGTATTTTCTAGCATATAAGTCGCAGCTTGTTGGCATAAATTAGCATGCCTGTGACTTGTACAGTGAAGCAACATAGTTTTTTATAACATATAATATAATTATATAATATAATTTTTGGCTGAGATCTGACTATTTCATTAATTCTGACATGGAAAATATTGAACATTACCATTTGCAGCCACTAGAGGGCCCTCAACCCAAATGGCAAGACAAGTGTCTCATTAATAGGTAAAAGTGGCTATTAATGACACACTTGGTTTGCCATACCAAGCCACCTTTGTCTCTCTCCGGAACTCCTGGAGCAAACGTCAAATCAGCTTCATTTCACTGCACTGCCCAGGAGAAATACAACTGATCTGACCATCAAAGTGCATTTATTAAGGAAACGTTCAACTGAGGCACACAGGTACTATAATTTTGAGCAAACAAATAATTGTTTTTAGGTGGTTATGTTGTGGCAGCACGGTGGCGCAACTGGTA